TTGATGGAATCTTGGAATAGACTTCAGATTTGATTGTAATACCAATTAATTTGCTTGAATTGAGATTAGATTACATGCGCATCTGGAAGTCCTACAAGCTCCCAATCAGATCAATTCGCTCTTTATCCAGATATCAATGAAGAGGGTCAGTTTGGGTTTAAAGCGGGTAAGGGTCGTCTGGTGCGCATAAAAGCTGATCCGGCTGCAATGCCACATCATGTGGAGGTGTTGCGACCGATTCAAAAGCCACAACAGTCATTGATGTCTAGATCCCAGCCTCCTCAACAATTAATTAGTTCTTGGGGTAGTCAAGGCAGTCATCTGCCTCCGATCAGCTCTTCCGATGAGGGTTCTCCCCCGTCTATGATTGGAGTATCTTCAATCATCTCTTCGACGTCTGACGATGTCTCGACCGTCTCGTCCCCAGAGCCCTACCAATTTATTCACGCTAACAGAAAACGGAACGGTGAGTTCTGATTCTAAAAGATATTTTACTTAAATCGCCCGTTGTGGCATGGTCATTTAGTATAATGCGATTTTTCCACTTCCAGGCAGTAATTTGATATTCTTGGTGCACGTAATTTGTTGCATAGTGCCCATTAGCAGCCCTCAATAACCATTTTCTAGGAAATTTTTGTGGAAAAATGAACTTTTATGAAGTAAAAGTTGCTGAGTTCGGTTTGTTCATTTGTCCATTTCTCATCACACTAGTAGTTTAAAATAGACTGTTATCCGTTCGTGATCTTAAAAACTGTGGCCTCATTAATCTCAAAATGGTAGTGCACTTTACTTGGTCTTCTACTTTGTAGTGGATACTCACCTGTTTCAGCAAATCTGTTCCTCAGACGCAAATATGGGCACCTTTTATGTCCCCGGTGATAGATCGGCAAATGATGATACAATTCGACTTCCGCTTCAGTCGTTTACACCAGCTTCTGATGGCTTTAAAGGACCTTCACCGACTTACAACTCTGCTGATGTTGCTTTCACCGATGTCAATAGTACCACGATCAACGGGTTCAATGGATATCAAGCCCAAGTTTCGCCGGGTAACAGTAGTGGAAGCAATTTCACCCGGCTAAGTCTCTTCTGGGGCTCATTTTCTCTTCTCATGTTCAATCCTTTCGTCATTTCCTCTAGCGGTGCCCAGAACCGTGAAGGTGCTCACTGTAAGCACCTGTGTTTGTCTTAGTGGTTGGTTTACACTGAGAAATCAAGTAACCTAGTGTTTCCCATTCCATCTTTTCGCTGACATCTTCAAATTTTCCGTGATTTCCATTTTAGCTTGAGTTTATTCAAAGCTGGGGCCGCCTTTTTTGCGGTAATCATCTGTTGTTGTTGTTGATTACTATTATTATTATTATGCAACTGTCTTCGGAATTGTATCCTAAGTTGGGCATTAACTGATGATTATTAGTTTTGGAGTGTCAGCTGAAGCAGGTTATACTATTCATGGGAATCAAACATTTTAAAGACTTGTGAAGAGATTACTTTTCTTACTGATCTTTACAGCCGCCGGGATGCCCATTCTTCGTTTGTTTTCGGCAATATCTCTAAGCTTCCGGCATTCTGAAGGAAGCGATGACACAATGTCGGCGTTGAGTCCCCTTTTTCTGTCGTTTATGTATGCCGCTCAGTGGATTGTGGCTATTCTCCTTCTTCTCTTCGCATGTCCCCGTAATTTCGGTTCGGTGTTGCCGAGCTTTCTCACTCGAGGATGGGGGAAACGAATTCGCGGAGTTATCAGCGAACTTCCTGGTGGACGAGTTTCTCTCTTACATTGGAAGAGATGTCAAGAACACACCAAAAAAGTAAGCTCACCGCTTTCATTAGTGCTTGGTTTGGGGCTTCAAGTGCAGCTGTTTATTCTGAGGCTGAGAAAATTACCTCAACATGTGATACTTCTTTGTAAGTCAACACTCATTCTAGTTTTCTATTAAGCTATCAATAGTGTCGGTCGTTCTAACTCTTTTCAGGTTAATTGTTAACCATGAATGAGAGCCTGTGCCAAAGTTGAACTTTCTCAAATTCTTTTTATCTCCTAATTACTGAATGGACACCAAATAGTGCCCCGTAGAATACACAGTCCTACACACTTGTTTCAGAGCATCAAAATAATGAAGCCGAGGAAATTCTTTGCAAAGTCAAGAATTGACGTCGTATTTCGGCATTATTTTTAAGTACTGATAACCCTAGACTTCCAGATATATTTATTTTCAATTTCGACACCACTGGATGTGGCGTCCCGACACTTCCCAGCGAGTAAAGGAAGGCAGTAAGTGGAGCTGAATATATGTATTCCAAGGCGAACAAAGTAAGTAGGCCTGAGCATGGCCCAAAGGCCAGACCCACGCGTACAAGGACCAGACAAATCTTAAAGTAACCGCTAAACGTCAGGTGGTCATATAAAACATTACACCGGCCCCCTCTATTTCCACCTTGCAAATTACTCTAACAGCTAGACTTTGTGAACTTTGCCGCTTCTGTTGAGTTCGATTCATGGTCACGTTTTTAAGTCCATTTATGCCTGTTTGTATAAATCGTAATGTATGTGTAAATGCCTCATTTTAGAGAGCTTGGATTGAAGCTGGAAGTCGGTTAAAGGAGTCTTTAACAGTACTCGGTGCCTTTCCATCTATCGGCAACGGCCTTGTATCGACCTTTTGCGCACATATAAGTGCCTATTTTGAGGGCCTCAGATTTGCTGCATATCGCCTGCCACAGTTTTTTTGGCATTTGAGTTCCAAACATCCCATCCTTCGAGCACCAGAGTTGTTACAAGTTGATGTACCAACGGTGTCTCAATTAAGGAGACAGCTGCTTGATCTCAAATTTCTTGGTAAGCACTTCAAATAAGATGGATTTCACGGGCGCCGGCTTCTAAATGGCTTTCGTTCAGTTGCTTTTAGGAATTGTGCCTCACCACGCTAATGGAAGTTACTTCCGTACCGTGCTTTTGCATTATTATTTGTTTTTACCTAATTTAAAGAAGAAGTAAATTCATTGGATTGGCTGCTATTAATTCAATGCAATGATAGTGATTGCACAGTGGTGTAATGAACGCTACCTCTAGGGAGAGGATCTTGTAGTGTAATCTTACCTGTTCCTATCTCCAATTAGTGTCTATTAGTCGATTGGGCTGTATTGGTGCATTTTAGCTGCCTTCTCATGCCCTTTTATTATTAATGGCTACTCCCTCTACAGGCACACTCCGTGTTCGCTTCTACTAGTTTAACTCGTCAGCTTTCATTCATCTTCGGCGCAACTCGAAGTGTTAAGTCAATTAAACAAAAAAAACTACCGACCGTGAAATTCTATTTTGCAATTACAGTTTCAAAACAACTGAAACTGTTATTTTTTAAAATTCTTCTGCTTTCAATGTAGTGCTTTATTTTCTTTGACAAACCACTTGGTGTTTTCCCTCAAAATTAATGCTGCATAACGGAACTTTTTTTGGTCAAATGATATGGGTTGGTTTCTACATGGTATAAATAGGCATTTTTTAATAATTCATGTTCTGTCTTGTAATAAATTACTTGTCTTCAGATCTCATTCATCTATCGGACAATAATCGCGTACCTCAGGAATGTCCTATTGCTCCTGAAATGTCCAGTCGTGAGTGCCTCCATTTTGTGC